CATACATACAAACAGACAAGCACACACACATACAGGCAGACACACACACAAGACACACATACATACAAAGACACATACATAAAAAACAGACAGGCACACATACAGACAGACAGACACACATACATACAGACAGACACACGCACATAAGACGCACATACATACAAACAGACAAGCACACACACATACAGGCAGACACACATACATACATACATACACAGACAGGCACACACACAGAGAGACACACATACATACAGACAGGCACTCATACATACAGACAGACACACACACAAAATGTTTAAGTCCCCGTCCTGTTTCCTACCTTTAAGGTGCAGAAAGGTGACTTTCCCTGGGGTCCAGTGGTGGCTCAGGTTCCCACTCTGACTCCCTCCTGTCTTCATCCCGCGAGGCTCTCAGTGTTAGCTGGAAGGAGTGACGTCACTGTATGTGTGCCAGTGTATGTTAATGAGTATATATGAGTGTGTGTACGTCACTAAGTATGTGCATTGATTGCTGCATGTCATTGTTTGAGTATGGGTCACTGTGTGTGCGCCAATGTGTATGCCTGTGTCTAGTAATTAGTGCATGAGAGTAATGTGAGTGTGTGGGCATCAGTGATTGTGCCATCTTAATCCACCGCATCCTCTTCAGCTATCAGGAGCAGGGTGACCAGGTCCTCCATGTTTGCAGGGACAGGTATCACATGTACATATTGATGGGCAGCACATGAAAAGAGTTGTCCTGTATTATGTAGAATTCCAAAGAAGGTGTATAAGATTAAGTAATTAGGCAATGAAGAATTCTGCAGAATATGCATTATACATACTGCATGAATTTCATATTACACATAGTTACACACATCACATACAGCCACAACACACAGTCATCACGGTAGAGGTAAAGTGATACAGGATAGAGCTCCTAGCACCTTGTTCATCAATGGGAGAGTCCTGCATGAACAGCATCAACATGATTTACTGATAGAAGTAAACAGAAAAATAGCGATCACCTTTTTTACAGATATTCTGTTCAAAAAAATCCTGACAAACTATAAATACAATTTTGCATGCACGCAACATTTGCACAGTCTGTGCGCAATCTGTGCATTAACTGCAGAATCTAAAAGAGTTATTTAATAAAGTGAGAATTTTCAAGAATTACAAGTTAATTCCTGAATTTCTTTAAAGGTACCCTAATAGCACCCACACCACTTTATTGAGAGGAAGTGGTCTGGGTGCAGTGCCCAGTAATTTTGTAGAAAAGTTTTTTTATTGCTGGGTTAAACACACATCAAGTGTCTGTCTTGATACTTGAATGTAAGAGAGCCTATACTCCCAAAAAAATATATAATTTTCTGGAGTATAGATTCTCTCTAGGGCCAAAATAGCTGAACTGGAAACATTGATTCTGTTAAGTTATTGGCAATTGTGTGCTTGAAGCAAGTTGCGCCATTGGCACCCCATAACTCTGTTCTAGGCTGCTAATGTTAATTAAGTGCATATTTTGCATCTGTCATCAGCACGCACTGCACGCTGGCAACAGACATAAAAAGGAGTACCTGCAAGAGGAAGATAACTTTTCCCTCCCTCTGTTGCAAGGAGTTTGAAACACAAAAACATTCAATGCTCTTGTCCACTCCCTCCCCATGCTGGACCAGAATGTGTGCATGGCAATAGGTCCAACCTCAGGCTTCTCTATGAAGTCAGTGATTGGACCAGCAGGACCTGTGTGATGTAAGGATGGGATGTGGAATTCAGCACCCTTATTGCAGGTTTGTAACCCCCCCTTTTATTGCAAACAGTAGATAGACCTTATCTATAGTGCCCAACAGGGCCTCCTTGTCCCAAGGATTAAAGTATCCCTTTTATATTTTTGGATTAGATTTTGAAATTATTTAATATTTTGGATGCACTATTAAATTACTTTTTTCAAAATATCAGATGTCAAAAAATATAAAAAGAAATATTAACACACTATATAGGACACTATAGAATACAAAAATGTATTCCTATTGTTATATCTTCATTCTTACAAGGAATGCAATGTAGTGAATGTTATTTTATTTCCTTCTCTTCCCTGCTATATATGTTAAACATGGGATGTCTGTAAAGTTACAGGCAAAATTCTGTCTACTACAATTGTTCTGGGAAATAAATCCTGTAAAAACTATGCAAAATGATCTTCACAGGGTTTTTCGCTAAAATCTAAATTGTCAGGAATTAAAATCCAAGTGGCAAAGTGTAATAAAATTGCTAAGATGTGACTATAGATGAGTTGGAAAATGTCCGACCTAAACCTTGCCATCTGGGTTTTTATTTACTACAGTTTGCAGTTTAGTGGAAAACAAAACAAACATAGAACTGTTAGGAAATCTGAGTTTAACCCCTTAAGGACCAAACTTCTGGAATAAAAGGGAATCATGACATGTCACACATGTCATGTGTCCTTAAGGGGTTAAAGAGAATTTCACATTTTAGGCCAAAAATCGAGAAACTGCACAGCTGACTTTAAGAATGTTTCCAATATGACTGCTTTAGCCTAAATATTGCAATACTCTGTTTAGTGAGGAAAAAACCCCTCTAAATCTACCTACCGATGACTGCCAGATGCACAGTCTGTCTTATAGGGGTTTCCCAGATCACATTACATTGTCTCTGTGTGATAATTGAGGCATTTTGTTAATCTGTATTGTGCTCTGAGTTTCTGTTTTAGTTTAAAGGGCTATAAAACACACCCAGTGAAACCACTTGAATGATGACGTCAGTATTTAATTGGATGTCTTTAAACACTTCTAACACTTCAGGCGTCTGTGGGAATTAACGTATTGTTTGTTTTAGCAGGTGCTGTTGCTGATTAACTCATTATTCCCAGCATCAATAAGTTATCTATAAACAGCAGTTAACGGTTTCTGTGTCAGCCAATGGAGTCCTGAAATTCCTTTTTTTTTTTTATGTGTATTTAGTATAGCGAATAGTGACCCTATTACCAGAGATTTACATTCCATTACACTTACATAGTACCAAGGGGCACATGGACACGCTCTTTGGGAACAAACACCTGCATTTTACAATATTAATATAGTGTGTTTGAAAACTGTATTATATCAGTATATTTATGAAAACACTTGAGGATATAATGCACACACTTGATTGTAGTCATTCAGGCTCAAATCTGTGCGTTGCATGTTTTATTCATGTTTGACACTAAACCAGTCAGTGTGTGCCCCCACTTTTCTGACAAGAACATTACAGATTAAACAGCATGGCAGGGCTCATTAGACAACCAACAAAGCATGATACAGTGTTGCAGATCTAGACGCCATATAAGGCTGTATAGTACCATATTAGGTCAGTGTAGTAACATTTGAAGGGACAGACATTGTAACATTGAGTACTAGATGTTTGACGAAAAATTGGAGTTTGGGTTGTCATAATGTTGTTATTTGAGATGCCATATACAATAAACACAGGTCCATAGGCCTAAATATTAGTCGTGGTTTAAAGCTCTAAACGTGTAGCAATTGCTTCGTATCTAGAACTTTGACTGTCAGTGGGTTGTTATACCTGATGTGCTTATGTAAAATTCTATAGATATTATGGCTGGTGGTTGTTTTACTTTATCCATCGCCCTCAGTGTTGTAGGGCACTATTGCAAGGTGCCATGTACAGTGATTAACCATATGTCATCCCAGAGATTACTATCGGTGCTCGAGATAAGAAATAATATGAAAAAACCCACAGAACAATGCAGAAATTAAATAATAAAGCCAATTTATTTTAACATTTATCAAACATATCATACATGTCAAATAAATAGCTTAAATCAACTGAATATTGCAGCACCAGTTCACAGGAATGCAATACATTCTGTTTGAAAAGGGAAGGGAAGAAAAAAAAAAAGGAAATAAAAAGAAAAACATACAGTCCTCTACACCTTCTCATTGTTTTGTCTGCACCTGCACCAGGTACACGAGAGTCTGTCTTCCTTCTATACCCTGGTAATGGCTGTACAGGGCATCAGTCACTGCTACAATGTCAAATTCAAGTATTTATAGGGCACAGAAATGTCTTTACCCCTCAGCGTGATCAACTCTCTTGTGGCAGTTCTGCTGCATAGATGGTGATCTCTTAGAAACCGTCTGTAAGGAACAATTGTTCCTGCTGCTTAATGACTCGATTGTAAGCTTTGCGGAACAGTCATCAATCTGCCACTTCTCTCTGCTTTAGAAGTAGTTTTGATGTCTGCTGTCACGTGATTGGATCACAATCTCCTTGAACAAATCTCTGGGAAGCACAGCACTCTTCTGCCCTTGGATCACAGACTGTGTCTTTACACATGGTTATGGACCCTCCAGGTTAGCCTTCCAGGACTGGAATGTAAGCTCTGCAGACCAGTGGAATGTTAAACCTTAAAACCAGCCTCGGTGCTTAGTGGTTCGCTTTCTCTGAAGATGGCAGTTCTCCAGAACAGGATCAGGATCACTTCTGTCCATCACTATTGGATTAGATTGTCAGCTCTGCGGACCAGGAGCTCAGATCACTTTCAGGGCGATCTTTCTGAGTTTGAGGAACTGCATTATCTTGTCTCTTGTTCTCTGCTTTAGGGCCACCAATGCCCGTGCTTTCTCCTCGTTATCCTGGTCAATGCAGAAGATGATTCTAGCCCTGTCCTCCGCCTTCTTGTCCCCACTTTTCTTGAACAGCTTCTGCAGAGAATCCTGGTCTACACCCTCAAAGATGTTGGCAGAAGCCTTCTTCCGCAGGGCTGTGTCGAAGTGGTACCCATGTACAGAGGGGCTGACTCTCAGGGAGGTGGACATGGTCACTGAGTGATGGTGGTAATAGGTGTGATGAGTGCACTTGGCAGGATCAGCTCTGGGCTCTCAGACACAGGAGCTAATGGTGTGTGAGTGCACTGTTCCAGCCTTTATACCCTGCAGCAGGGATCAGATTACTGCTCTGACATCATCAGATGGGAGGGCCAGCAATCAGCTGTTTCCCAGCAGAGGGAGAGCCTGCGGCTGTGCTCAGCACTGAAAACACTAGCATCAGCCAGAACGGTATATGATAGCAAGCTCTGCGGCTTACCTTACTTCCCCCGTCTGTATTCTAGAAACAGAGACAGCCTGTCATGCTCTGTATTGCATCCAAAGCTCCCTCTATATAGCTGTATCCTTCTTCACAGAGGACACAAAAATCCTCTGGACACATCTCCCCATGTGTGCTCTGCGTGTATACATCTTTATATACTCTGCTTTGTATACTGCTTTATATACTCTGTAGCAGTTAGAGTGTATGCTGTGCTGGGCCAGGATTAAGTCTCTCTCTGTACTTCACTTCTATCTAAATAACAGTAAGTTCTGCAATACATGGCCCCTTCCCCCTGTACTCTATTCATATATCCAGATCACACAGTAAATCATACATGGAAGGTTTTATCTCTCTCTATATATATATATATATATATTGTTTGTGTATTTTTGAGTTAAACGATAGAAATTGTACATTTCCACTATATATACAGCGCTACTGAATTTGCTGGTGCTATATAAATAATATATTATTAAGAGACATGATAATTTTAAATGATATCAAGTATTATGTATGATTTAATTTATTATGCATTTGTGTTTTTATTTCCATATTTATTTCTATATGTTTTTGAATTTTTATACTCTGTATGATATGATGGGTATCGAGTTTTTTCAACAATTGATGGCACTTTTGATGCTACAATTGATTCCAATAGTACAGCCGTTTTTCCTAGCGAGTGATCGCAAGTGCTATATAAACTGAAGGGTCAGACCAAGACAATCACCAGCCTCTGATGAAGTGACCCTGCCGAGTCACGAAACGCGTTAGGTTTTATGGCAGAAGCCGCACGAACATCCAGAAACCGAGTCCTAGTGGAACGCAGGTTGGGTTAACAAGGTGGAATGCACGCAAAGAGAAATTTACCGCTTCCACAACATCGAGACCTCCCAGCCGGCCAGAGGAAGGTGTTCCACCACTATTCCAGCGACCACTCAATTTTGCAGACTCCAAAGGACCCTATAGTTGCTCCACTCCATTGCACCTTTGTGAGTGTATTTTATCTTTATAATAAATTCGAAAATAAATTTTAATGGAGAGCACTATGGCTGTTTGTTCTATATTTCAGATCACAGAGAATACTCTATCACTATAAATCTGTGTCTGTTATCTAAGAGTGATTGCCATTACAATATTTGTGTGAGGGGCAAATAAGGCCGTATAGGAAAGGGGGAAATAAGTCGGTTGTGGTGTGCCGGAACCGACGTAGTGGTAAGCCTGTAATAAAAGGCCTTTCTCTCTCTCTCTCTCTCTCTCTCTCTCTCTCTCTCTCTCTCTCTCTCTCTCTCTCTCTCTCTCTCTCTCTCTCTTTCTCTCTCTCTCTCTCTCTCTCTCTCTCTCTCTCTCTCTTTTGTGTACTTTTTGAGTAAAACAATAGAAATTGTACATTTCCACTATATATACAGCGCTACTGAATTTGCTGGTGCTATATAAATTATAAGATATAATTATCTACTATATAACAAAGTGCATATTGCAGGGCAGGACTCCTCTTCTCTGTACTGTACATGGATCCATATATGTGTGCTATAAAGTATTAATTGTAGTTTGTTCTGTTGATCTATTGTTTCTGTACACCATCTCTACAAGGCGGGATTTCTTTTCTGTACAATGTATTGTAATACTACAACTCAAGCCCTTAAAAGAACACCAGACTATTAGAAATATAAACCTGTATTCCTAACCCTTCTGTGCCCCTGTCCCTAGTTCTATCCAGGCCCACTGCTATCCCCCCCTCGCTTGTATTAAAAACAGCTTTAAAAAGAAAAAAGCATTTTACTCCCCCTTTTCCAGCTGCTCACCTCTGTGTCCTGTGATGTCATGGTGAAGGATGGAGGCAGCAACGGTCCGATCCAATACCCCTCATTGAAGATCATTGGCACTCTGATGCGCAAGCGCGGCGAGCATTATGTGCACATCCAAAAATCCTCACGGATAAACATTGAATTCAGTGCTTTGAGTCCTATGCCACGAGGTTTACTCAGCCAGTGGAACGGAAGCACAGCAAATGGCTGTCTAGAAGAAGCAACTAGAGGTGTGTTTAACCCGGCAATGTAAACATTACAATTTCTAGAAAACTGTAATATTTTACATTGCAGAGTGAAAATAGCAACCACTGCACTCAGACAGTTTAATTCAGATAAAGTGGACTGGGTGACTTTAGTGGTCATTTATTTAAGTTTAGGATTTTATAGTAAAGTACTAGAACATTTCTCTCCACTACCACTACTACTGCAAATCGAGTCTGCTTCTATAGAGCGTTGGAAGGATTACAATACAGGGTCCCTATCACCTTGTTCTGTATAATGCATGTATCTGGATAAAACCGCAAGCTGTACAGAATACCGATCTATCATTATTTGCTAAAGTTAGAATTGTCCAGAATTCAAAGTGAATTTCAAGTTTACGGCCAACATAGATAAATCAGGAAAATGTTCCAGCTATGCCTCCAGTTACTGAACATGCAGCTTTCTTTTTCAATAAACTCCGATTGGCATGTTTCCTATCCCTTTGCAGTGTACCGTATCTGTCAGGTTCAGTCACTAAATCAGAAATTGCATCGCATTATATAGGGGATTTAATGTGTTAAACTAGAAAAATTATCTACAGTTTGGCTACTTACTTATTCTGCTAGTTTTTCCAGAATGTGAAAATCCCTTGTCATTCCCCACTTTATAGAACAGCACCGTGTTACTGCTGTAGATCACGATTTTCCTCGCCCTCTGTATTTTTTAACATAATGCATCATTGAGTATTCTAATAACTGAAAATATGCTGTTTACCTTTTTATATAGGTCAGGAAACTGAATTGACGTTTACAAGAGGTGTCAATGTTAATTTACTGATTAGTCTCAATGGTTAGATGTCGATAGATTGTAAGCTTTGCGCAACAGCCATCAATCTGCCACTTCTCTCTGCTTTATACGTAGTCTTGGTGTCTGCTGTCACGTGATTGGATTACAATCTCCTTGAACAAGTTAGCATTATTGTTTATTATTTGAATTTTAGGCAGCCTTACTCACAATTACCTGTTGATGCTCTAAAAGAACACAGTATATGTATAGAGACTAGTTATTTGCCCAGGGATATTCCTTAACAGGAGAAGATAGGTGAAATGGAAAAATCAATTAAAGTATTGATTATTTCTTTGTGTATCTGCCCCTGGCCAAATCAATGAAACAATGCGTGCACGCTCCCTGAAGTAATTCACACCAGACACAGGTTCCAGGTTGTTGAATAACTTGAGGAAAAGTTTATTCAGAGGGGACGGCAAGTCCCTTTTAAAGCAAAATTACATCATAAGCATTGTCAGAGATAACATGGAATAATACATCAATTATTGGTTAGGTGTTAAGTGGTTGCTTCAATGCTCTGCCTACTGTAGGTGATGTCACCGGGGCCATGAGGGTCTCCCACGGTTTCCCAGCGCCATCTTGGTGCACGAGGTAGTTAGTCGATGTTAGGAAGGAGAAAGGGAAGGGGGGGGGGGAAAGGAGCTAGAAGCTTTAGCAGCCATCTTAATTATAACGTGTGTGCTTAGCTATATATATATATATCGTGAAATGAGTAAATAGACATTTTTCACTAACTAGGAAATATGTGTAGACCTTATTTCCACAACAGTCCCCCCTAAAATGGCTATTTACCATAACAACTGCTACTGTCCCTAATATGTCCCTAGTTGCCTGCAACCTATCTGCCTTAACTAGCATCGAACACTTCACTCCGCGGGTAACCCGCAGTGGCTAGTCCACTACATCTCCACACGTGAGACTCGCCAGTAAGACAGACGCTTTCCCTATACTGTCCCTACAGGAAAGCAGTTGTTTGTTTGAACTGATGTGATTGAAGGGGTGTATGTGGAGTATCATCTTCGAGGTCTGTGATGTCTTGGTGTATGAAAGTAGGGGTCACGTCATCTATAGTCTTGTCTACCGCTTTCTGTAGATACTTCTGTATGCAGGGGAATATACAACAGGTCAGAAATAAGAAAATGACGATCATTATGAGAACAGCTGTCCCCACCTGGAAGAGGGTCCTTTGCCAACCATTCATCCATCCAAACCATCTGTCCCAAGTGTCGATGACTCCTGAATTTTTCTTTAGCTCATCTGCAAGACTATCTAGCTTCTCTATGGCCATAGTCACCTTACCGTTGGGCCCAGTGTTGTCTGGAATGTATGTACAGCATGTCATGGTCTCAGGGAGGATTTTACATACACCCCCCTTCTCGGCTAAAATCATATCTAGGGCCATTCTGTTCTGAAATGTCATTTGGGTAGTGGCTTGTAATTGTTCTGCCAGGCCCTGTAGGGCATCCCTAGTGTAGTTGACAAAACGCTGTTGATTATAGTAAATGTAGTTAATCCAATTGACATTTTTGTTAGCAGTTATCATTGGAATTAGGGACTCAAATCCTGCAGCCACTTCATCTCTTGCTTTGAATTCGTTAGGCACCCCCCTTGGCACACCTATGGCATCAATATACACATGGGGGTCGAAACTCCCTCGAATAGGAGTCTCTCGTTTGGTTCTAGAGTGTACATGTGTGAGATTTAATGTGTTATGGTCACCATCTGGGATGATATGGATAGGCATTATAACTTTAGTTAGGGCACACTCCCCCCACCATTGTCCAATTAATTGGGACCTCAACTGTTTATCCCCACATAACCAATAGATATCACCGATTGTCTTTGTGTGATTCATTAGCAGTGATACGGGTGGATTATGGTAAGTTGAGCAATATCCTGATGGGAATTTGCCCAGATATAAACCGGTGTTTTTAGATATTGTATAACATGTGTAATTACCTGGGTAGATGGTGACTCCATCAGGTGGTTTTACATGTCCGTGAGTGATCGGGTAAATTCTCTTCCATGATTCACATGTCGAGGAATTGGTGACGGACTGTGTGTAAAGGCTCAGAACACATGATTCTACTTCAGGAGGCAAATTCAGAGGAACTGTGCCCAGATGGGGTCTGGCTCCTCCACACACATAACAATTGGTCTTATTGTGTGAGTTGGCATTATACCTCATCCATTCCAGCCATAAATTAGTGTCTGAGAAACCAGTTTCCACTGCCATAGTGTCTTCAAAGGTGGGGTTGGCTATAGCTACCATGTCATGTAGGGTCTTAATATGTGGTTTTAATGGGTTAACGATCATGTGAGTGGTCCCTACCCAGTCTGGGGAGGTGAGCATGTCTTGTAGGTAGAATGTCCCCAGTGCATTGTGTGAGCCACCTCCCTCCCAGTACATCCCCATCACATATTCCCCCGCGTCCCTTGGACTAGGGTGTTCTATATTCAAGGTAAGTTTGATGGGAGTTGACCCTGTGGGTTTACTAAGAGTCATTCTAGAAAGTAGGGGCTTCCCGTCTTTGTCAAGTCTATCTAGTGCAACCTGAGGTCTGTAGCCCCATGGTCTACCTGTATTCCACCCGGCAGCTTTCCATGAACTACAGTGGTGTCCCCAAGCTCCTCCAGTCACACAAATGTATGGGTCCTTTTTGTCAGGTATGTCCTTGTATATGGCTGCATGTTGTGTCTGTGGGAATGTACAGGTAACTATGTCACAATAATCAAAGGTGTATGTAGCTACATCAGTATCAGAAGAATTGTACCAGAAAGTGTAAACATGATTATCTTTGGTTATGGCCACTTGTTGGGCCCAGGCAAAACGCAGCAATATAAGAAAACACGAGACACATAATAAATTCATGTTTCAACAAGATCAGCTTCTTCTGGAGCAGGCACTTTTTTGCAATGTGAAGCGTGTATCCAGGAACTTTTTCCAGCTAGTTTAACTGACGTTGCTGTAATCAGGAGCACTTGATAAGGACCATCAAATCTCGGTTCTAGGGTGTGTTTCCTGAGGAACTTCTTAACCATAACCCAGTCACCAGGGAGCAGCTTGTGTGTACCTGTATTCGACTCAGGATCTGGAATAGAAGAAAACACTTGGGCATGTATCTTGGTCAGGGCATGAGAGAGAGCGGTCACATAGTCTACCATAGCATCTGACTGAATCTGAAGCTGCTGGGGAAAGTAACAACCCAACCTAGGTGCTGTACCAAACAAAATCTCATAGGGTGATAGGCTGTATTTTCCCCTAGGTGTGTACCTTACACTAAACAATGCCAGTGGGAGACTCTCGGGCCAGGGCATGTTAGTTTCTTGTGACATCTTGAGCATTCTGGCTTTCAAAGTGCCATTCATGCGTTCTACCTTACCACTACTCTGTGGGTGATATGGTGTATGAAATGCAAGGGTCACCCCCAGTGCTGACCAGACTTCCCGTGTTAGCGAGGCAGTGAAGGAGGTCCCCTGGTCACTTTCAATCACTTCTGGGACCCCATAGCGGCAAACAATTTCTGTCAGAAGATACTTGGCTGTAGTCCTCGCGGTGAGGTTAGTCACTGGGAAGGCCTCTGGCCATCCTGAAAACATGTCCACTATGACCAATGCATATTCATAACGTCCACTTTTTGGCATCTGAATGTGATCAATCTGAATCCTCTGGAAGGGATATTGTGGCTTGGCTAGGTGATTAGGTGCAGTCTTTATAATCTTTCCAGGATTGCATTTAGCACATATAGTACAAGATTTACAGTAGTTCTGTGTTAAGGTAGTGATGCCTGGTGCTTCAAAATATTTGTCAATCAATGAGTTCATCAGATGTTTTGACAGGTGGGCTGGCCCATGGGCCCATTGGACCACCGCTGGATACATATTTCTGGGTAGGCAAAACTTGAGATTGATAGTGTAAACATCATCACGGAGTATAGCTCCTTTGCTCTTCCAACTTTGTTTCTCCTGTGGAGTAGCAGCAGCTTGTTGTTCCTTCAGGAGTCTAAGATCTGTAGGTAATGTTTGCATAGTGTAGATAGGTAATGTATCTGCGGCCACTCTTCTGTCCACTTCCCATCTTTGCCGTGCCGCTTCCTTAGCTGCTTGATCCGCTAGGTGATTACCACGTGCTTCTTCTGTGTCTAGTCTTCCATGGGCTTTTACTTTCAGTACTGCCACTTCTGCTGGAAGCTCCAATGCATCCATCAGCTCTGCAATGGCTGCCCCATGCTTTACTGGGGTACCAGTGGCCGTTAGAAATCCTCTGGTCTTCCAAATTAGGCCAAAGTCATGTGCTACTCCCAGGGCATATCTTGAATCCGTATAAATGTTGACACGTAACCCTTTAGACAATTTGCAGGCCGCAGTTAGGGCTGTCAATTCAGCTTCCTGAGCGGACTTAGTTGGTTGTAGGGCAGCTGCTTGCAATACTTGGCATTCTGTGGTGACTGCATACCCAGTGTGATATTGTCCCTGTTCATCAGCAAATCTTGACCCATCCACAAATAGTGTTTGGTCCGGGTTGAGTAATGCAGCTTCGTAGACAGTTGGTAGGTGTGTAGTTTCCATTTTCATTTGTTCAAAACAATCATGAGGGATATCGAGGTCACAGTCTGTGATGAGTGGATCCTCACAGGCTTCTGTGTGGTATCTGGGGTACCCAGCTGTACAGTAATTAATAGTCTTTTTATTGACCCCCATAGCAGTCAGCTGTTCTGGGGTCATTTGACTCCAGGTTTTGGCCATCGGGCCTAGATCTTTCCACGAGATGTCGGGGGGTTTGGTGACGGATATGTGTGGAATCGATGTTCCCCAATGGTGATAGAGATGTGTCACACTCTCTGGGAGGTGGACCAAGATGAGCATGGTACCTGTGAGGTCCCAAAACAAGTAAGTCAGGGTAATTTGGATTTCTTTAAGTTGGAACACTTCTTTCTCATAGTTCATATCAGGGCCTGGTTCATCCCTAACCCACAAGGTACAGTGAGGTAGGGCCACTGATTGTTCATTATGTGGAGGTGCAAGTGTAGGTAGTTGCAGATCTGTTAGAACTTCCGGGTTGATATCCAGGCTATACCAGTGGTACACAATTCCCCCCTTGGGAAGTGGCAGAAGAGTGGCTGGATTCAGGGTAAGGCATCTCTGGAGTTTCACATTGTCAGGTAAAAGCAATGAGGTTTGCAGGCGGAGGTGGCGTTGGGAGGAAAGGTGCTTAGGTTGGACTTGTTGCAGGATAGCAGTAATGTCATGGGGGGCCAACACTGTGAGGTGATGGCCTAGAACAAAGTCATTAGTCTTATCCAGGAGGGCACTGGCGGCAAACACAGCACGGAGGCAAGAGGGGCTGCCCCTTGCAACAGGGTCAAGCATGCAGGAAAAGTAGCCAATAGGCCGTTGTCGGGACCCATGTTTCTGAGTAAGGACTCCGGAAGCATGTCCTGATCTCTCAGAGACAAACAAATTGAAAGAGAGTTGGTAGTTGGGTAGGCCCAAAGCAGGTGCAGAAGCAATAGCTCGTTTCAGAGTATGGAAACAGTTAATAGTTTCTTCAGTGAGGTGAAAAGGCTCACTCCGGAGTGCATCATAGAGAGGCTGCATGAGTTTGGATGCTTCAGGTATCCAGGACCTGCAGTATGTGATGAGACCAAAGAAAGCATGAAGAGAGTGGTGGGTTGCAGGTAATGGGAGTTGAAGGATAGCTTGCACCCGTTGAGTGGTTAGGTGTTTGGTGCCATGGGAAATGCAATGTCCCAAGAAGACCACAGAGGGCCGGCACCATTGCAGCTTCGATTTTGAGGCCTTGCACCCTGCAGTAACAAGGAAACATAGGAGATCTTCTGAGTCACGTTCTGCAATAAGCAAATTAGGAGCACAGAGAAGGAGGTCATCAACATATTGAAGTAGAACAACATCCAGATGAGATTTCTGCCAGGGATCCAAAACTAGAGACATGGCATGAGCAAACTGTGTGGGAGAATTCTGAGCTCCCTGAGGCATGACAGTCCAGGTATATTGTTGTCCTTCATGTGTGAAGGCGAAGAGAAAACGGCAGGAAGGGTCAAGGGGAACACTGAAAAAGGCATTAGCTAGATCCACAACAGTAAAAACAGTTGAATTTGGTGGCACTTGGGACAAAAGGGTGTGGGGGTTTGGAACAATAGCAGTGTCTTTAATGGTTACTTCATTAACAGCACGGAGGTCCTGTACCATGCGGTACTGGTCGGGTTGGCCCTTAACAGTTCGCTTTTTAACAGGGAAAAGTGGGGTGTTGCATGGAGATGTGCACTTGGTGAGGGCACCTTTGGCAAGCAGAGACTCAACTTGTTTGGTGATGGCTTCAGCTTGTGCTGGCTTCAGAGGATACTGAGGTCTACGAGGAGGAAGTGCTCCAGGCAGGAGCTGGACCAGGACGGGGGGTACATGTAAGCGTCCAATATCATCCGGGCCGGTGGACCAAAGTTCTTGGGGGATACGATCCAGAGCACTGGGGGTGTGTGTGACCCGTGCATTCCCTGTATTGTCTGTTAGGTTCAGCAGGATGGGGAGTGAGCAGAGCACAGAAGTATCTTTTTGTGATAAGGGGGTTGTTAACTCAACTTGTCCATCTGCAGTAAAGGTTATGGAAGCCTGGAGCCGAGAGAGGACATCGGCACCTAGGAGGTTAATGGGGCAAGTGGAGGAGACAACAAAACGGGACAGGATGTGTGAACCTACATGTAAGAGCTTGGTAAGGGGGTTACTGCGTGGTGTACCATCCACCCCAACACAGGATACATCAGTGTCAGACAGGAAGGAAGGGTCTGGCAGGTCTTGTTCCCTAAGGACACTACGGGCTGCACCTGTGTCAACTAAAAAAGTGGTTGGGTGACCCTCCACGGGGAGAACTACAGTAGCCAAGGGTCCTCCCCCATCCCCCGCAGACACTGCCATAGCAGGGGTTGCTGACACAGGCTTGCCAGTTACCTATTGCAATAGATCAAGGTGGGCCTGATCTGGTCCCTGGTACCGGCGGGAGGTGGAGGGAGGGTTGACAGAATGCATGGGTGGGCGGGATGGACGGAGGGCATGGCGGGGATGAGGTTGGTTGTCTTGGAAGTCATCAGTATCATACCCTTCAGTGGAGGGTGAAGTGTATGCACGGGCCTCTGCTGCGGGGAGCCGGGCTTGGGAGTACTCAGGAGGCGGGGGAGGGGGAGGTGGAGGAGGTAGCTGAGGCAGCTGTGGATGGGGTAGGGCAGGGAGATAACCAGTGGAGGGGAAGTTGTAGCTGGTGACATGGGGGTTATGGTACCTGACGGTCTGTTGGCGGAGTACTCTAGGGTGTGGGCAATCTCTCCTAAAGTGACCTGGCTGATTACAATTAAAGCAGGTCCGGATTGTCGTGACAGTCCGGTCACGGGAGAAGGGAATTGGTGCAGGCAGTGCCTGGGGGGGCTGGGTGAACTGTTGGGGGAGCATCTGAGAGCCCTGGGTTGGACCTGCGATTGGGGTGGAGGTAGCATACATCAGGGGACTAGTTCTACGCTGTGTAGGGAGCAAAACAGACTCTAAGCCTTTGGCTACCAACAAGAGAGTGTCCAGTGGAATAATTCTATACTCCGGGCGAGCTAAAATTAAACCCTTACGAATATTTTCCCTAAGCCCTGCCACAAAAGCTGCAGACAGCATCTGGGTGTGTGCTTTGTTATAAATACTAAACCCTAAGTCTGAAAAAGTCTGAGTCAACCTAGAGTGATACTTCTCAACTGTCTCAAGTTTGTCCTGTAGGATATCATTAATGCAAGTAGCCTGATCTGCTAGTTTATCCTGTGCCCAGGCACGAAGCTGTTCACAAAAAATTTCACCAGAACGAAAGTCAGTATCAGAAGTAAGTGGAGCATCATTAAAGCTCCGTTCCATGATTGGCCAGTATGCATCACCAGCCTTTATTTCACATAGACTAATGAGATCCCGCCAAGCAGCGGAATATGTTTTTCGGATCTGAGCCATCCTACGGAAAAAGGGCATGGGGTGTTTTTCAGGATCAGGGAGTGAGGTCACAAGGGTAGCAGCTTGGGAAGGGTTAAAGGTAACATACATAGGTGGAGCACCATCCGCACCATGGTTGATTGGGGTATATCCCTGAGGGATAGTTTGCTGTTGGGGGAGCCTATTCACCCCCAGGTGGGGTGAATTCAGGTCAACCTCAACTACCTCGGCGGGCAGCACTGGGCCACGACGGAGAGTAGTCTCAGGAGTAGATGTAGCTGGGACAACAGGGAGGGCGGTGACAGGTGAGGTAGCTGGGTGGAAACCTGAAGCCTGGGGGGAGGCACCCATCGCATAGGGCTGGTCAGATGTCCCTGACACCTCGGATCCAACCACCATGATTGGGTAACTAGGGCCGGCGGAAGGGATACGAGGGACCAAGGCTGTGGAAGGGGCTGTTACGGGGGCCGATTGGGTAGGGCGTGAAAGGTGGGTGTTGAGGACATTTGCGAGGGCGGAGATGGGATCGGAGGGCTCGGGGATTTCGGCAGGAGACAAGGGTGGGGTTGGAGGCTCGGGGGGAGGGGGAGGAGGAAGAGGAGGAACGTCAATGGGAGGCGGCATGGGGATTGCGGAATTAACCAGGGAAGTAACAGCAGTGAAGAGGGCGGATATCGAGCCAGACAGGTCATCGGTCATGGGTGTGTCAGAGGTCACGGGGGAGGGGGTCAGAGGGACGGGGTCAGGGGGCTGTGATAAGGTCGGGGAAACAGGGATGTCGGGGGGAGATAACACGGGAAAAGGGGCTGGAGGGGTGGCGGCATAGGGTTGGGTTAGGGCGGTGAGGGCGGAGATCAGGGACGGCAAATCGGCCGCGGGAGTGGGAGGCAACGAGGTAGAGGGGGCCGGGGTTTCAGGAGGAGGTAACACTGGAGGAGGAGCTGGAGGGGTGACGGCATAGGGTTGGGTTAGGGCGGTGAGGGCGGAGATCAGGGACGGCAAATCGGCCGCGGGAGTGGGAGGCAACGAGGTAGAGGGGGCCGGGGTTTCAGGAGGAGGTAACACTGGAGGAGGAGCAGTAGGAGAGACCTTGAGGATGGGAGGGGAATCAGTGGGTAAGGGGGCGGAGGCAAGGGAACCGGGACTAGCGGGCTGGACAAGATTCATGAGAGTGGAGAGTAGGGGCGGGGGATCCTTGGAAACGGAGGAGGAGGAGAGGGGATGAGAAGGAATGGGGGAAGATGGGGATACAGGGATAGGGGTCACGGGGATTCCTGAAGATACTGGAGAAGGGAAGTCAACCGGGGGACAGGGGTCCGGGGAGACGGGGTTGGTTGAGTGGGTAGGAGCGGGGGTCGTAGGACGTAGGATGGACGAAGAGGGTGAGGGAACGGGGTTTACCAGTGACGGGGTACTCAGAGGGGAGAGGGATTGAGAGGAGGAGGAGGACGGGACTTCGATAGTTGAGACGGGAATAGTCGGGGCAGTACTCGGAGTAAGGACAGGCCCTGGGAAAGGTAACAGGGGGCATGGAGGTGGGGGAGCTCCGACGGGCGAAACAGGATGATGGCTGGAAAAGGGGGTTTGGTCACAGGAGGGTTGGTGCATGGGAGTGGGTGGGAACGAGTGGTGTGGCACTGGGAAATAGTAAGCTCCATCTACACCGAGCACGGGACATAGGGGGGTGGAGGCTGGAGACACACCCCCGGGGGGTGGGGTCTGTGCTGTGACGGGGGAGGCAGGGCGGGAAGTTACTGTTGCGCTCTGGGCGCCATCATAGGGTGGTGGCCGTGGAACAATAGAAACAACATCATCATTGTGAACATTCCTATGGTAAACATGTACAATCTGCCCCTCAAACTCCAACTCTTCCTCGACCCAACCTTCCCGTTTCAAACCTCTAGCTACACGATACCAGGCCTCTGCAACCTTTGTGAGTCCGTTATCCAACAGTAAACCTTCCTTGTCTATGAGTAGCTTTCTCCAAAATTCTGGCTGCAATCTCCCACTGGGCAGCATCTGGAAGCCACACACCTTAGCAATCTTTTTAAGTTTCATCATTGCATCCTCCCCTGCTCTTTCTTTCACAATGTCGCAAGCCAACAAGCCCTTAGCAGGTCTACCATGTTCCTGCCCCATCTTGACTAATCAAAGCGTGCCACTTGTTAAGGACAGATGAATAGAGGAGGTATAAGGAAGTAGGGGAAAAAGAGTGTCTACAGTGCTCGACTGCCACGAGAACTTGAGCCCCGTGCGTCTTCCCCAAACGTAGACTAGTCACGGAGATCCGCCCACCCGGGGTGGTGGTCACGGACGGGAGCGAATGAGCGTGGGCGACTAACACAGCTCTGGGCAACAGGCACAGGAGAGATAAAGCACAAAAGAAAAGATGAACGTGGCTGCACTAATGAGAAGACATTTGCAAAAATCACAAACATATAAATGAGCATAAACTCCGGAGTCCAGAACTAACCACACAATACACACACACACCAAGGGTACCCACGCTGTAACAACAATTGAACAAAAACCACAGAATAACAGAGAGTAAAATGGCCATGTACATGTTAATGACACCGGTGCCAAATAATCGAAGTATAGCTATCCTCAGCCTCCACCCACCAGGCTGGTCCCGGTATAACCCAGGTATTAATGGGAGCACAGTAATAAACAAACAAAATCCCAGCCCCACCGGCTGTAATGCATTCCCTGCCCGCTAGGCAGTCAAGCTAACTTAAAATCCCAGCCCCACCGGCTGTAAAGTCCCAGCCCCACCGGCTGTAAAATCCCAGCCCCACCGGCTGTAAAGTCCCAGCCCCACCGGCTGTAAAATCCCAGCCCCACCGGCTGTAAAGTCCCAGCCCCACCGGCTGTAAAGTCCCAGCCCGACCGGCTGTAATGCGTCCCCTGCCCGCTAGGCAGTCAAGCAAACTTAAAATCCCAGCCCCACCGGCTGTAATGCGTCCCCTGCCCGCTAGACAGTCAAGCTAACTTAAAAGAAGTATGAGAAACACGCACCCACACATACAAACGAATACAGGAGGCAGATAGACAATTGACAGGTTCACCTTAAAAAGGCACACCGGATGAGTTAATTACCTGTCTCTAGTAGCCTTCTGGAAGCCGGAAGTGGACTCGGAGGCAGACCGACACAAAACAGGAGAATAACACAGGCAACGGCTGTATTATGGGGGTGATCAGGCTCCGCTTGTCCCACTTTCCAGAGGTCCGCTCCGGTCCGTTGGTTCCGGCCCTCCGAACCGGCCCTCCGGTGGCCCCACGTTGGGCGCCAATTGAAATGGAAAAATCAATTAAAGTATTGATTATTTCTTTGTGTATCTGCCCCTGGCCAAATCAATGAAACAATGCGTGCACGCTCCCTGAAGTAATTCACACCAGACACAGGTTCCAGGTTGTTGAATAACTTGAGGAAAAGTTTATTCAGAGGGGACGGCAAGTCCCTTTTAAAGCAAAATTACATCATAAGCATTGTCAGAGATAACATGGAATAATACATCAATTATTGGTTAGGTGTTAAGTGGTTGCTTCAATGCTCTGCCTACTGTAGGTGATGTCACCGGGGCCATGAGGGTCTCCCACGGTTTCCCAGCGCCATCTTGGTGCACGAGGTAGTTAGTCGATGTTAGGAAGGAGAAAGGGAAGGGGGGGGGGGAAAGGAGCTAGAAGCTTTTAGCAGCCATCTTAATTATAACGTGTGTGCTTAGCTATATATATATATATCGTGAAATGAGTAAATAGACATTTTTCACTAACTAGGAAATATGTGTAGACCTTATTTCCACAACAGTAGGTACAAAGCCTCTGTTGCAGGATTGTGAATACATCCTCTATAATGTGATTAGGCAAATTTAAAAATGCCATCCATCGGAGCAGCAATGGTTTAAATATAATATATCATATTACGGTACAATATAGTATTAATTATGATATAGTACTGTAGAATATTTCTATATGTAAAAATATAGTGTAAATCAACATGTGAAAGACATCTTCAAAGCAAAAATAGCTAAATATTCAGATAATATTTCTAGCTTGGTCTTGTTTGAATTTCCCTTATTAATTCTACACAATTCATGGTTTAGTTAACAAACCCCATCTTCAGTAAAAGGTGACACTTGGTTACCTTATGTAAAGGGGACATTGTCATTACAGAGACAATTTTGTGTTTTGTAACATTTAATTTAGCATGGCTAAGCAATCAAGGGATCAGCCTGTGTTTTGCTCCTTCAAACAATCAGTTTAAGAAGCTCCTTTGTCTTGTGTTGAAAATGCAATGCGGAACGTGTACTAGAACATTGTGTGGGGTGTGAGTCTGGAGAGGAGGGGAGAATGTTAAATATAGAACAAAGCACTCTATGAAGTGTTTATATAATGCAGGGGATGGGAGTTGATATGTTTAATTAGAACATAAACAATAACATGGCTTGTCATATACTCACGTACAAGGGATGTCTAACCCCTAGAATGCAAGTAAGTACTGTGTTCATTACACATTAGGGTCACAACACTATTATACACTGCACTTTGTGTATATTTTACAGAGGTGAGGGAAAAACAGCAAAACTTTCAGAATGGATCAGTATACTTTAATATCTCCTAAAATCAGTGCTGTATTTTCAGTGAGGCTAACAAGGCATTTGCCATGGGCAGCACTTTCCAGGCGAAACCTAAATGCCCCAGGAGATGCCTTGTTAGTCTTGTTTCATGTGGGGCCCAAGAGCGGGCGGGCTGGCGATGTCTATTTTAGCCAGGTGGTGAGAGCGTTGTCCTCTGTGCTCTTCTTGCTCACCTAGCTTGTGCATTCTGCTGTGATGCCAGGATAGGCTTCGGCATCGCGGCAGGGAGCAGAGCAAGAATATTGCGCTCCCACCTGCCTGCCGAGCAGCTACACTGAACCCCAGGGAAATAATCCCTTCCAGCTCTCCCAAAGACAGGGAGACTGGTGGATTTAAACTAATTTAAAAATAAATACATTTGTGAGTGTATGAGAAAATGTCTGTCAAAATCAGTATGTGTCTGTCAGCGAGTGCATGTGTCTGTCAGTGAGTGTGTGTGTCTGTTAGTGAGTGTGTGTGTCTGTTAGTGAGTGTGTGTCTTTCAGTGAATTGTGTCTGAGTGTGTATGTGTGATGCATGCATCAGTGAGGGTGTGGGTCAGTCAGTCAAAGCGTGTGTTGGTCTTAAAGGAAGAAACTTAAATTATGTGGGTGCCCGAGTTTCGTCATGCCTAGAGCAGCACAAATCCAAAATTCACCACTGCCTAAAATGTAATCCTAGCGTCATCTAAATCTTAACTGAAAAGAAAATTAAACTAGCAACATAAAAAATTACCACTTTTTCATGTCTTTATTGAACTCATTCATCCAACATCCATTGTTTTTGTTGAGTAAAGTATGTAGATGTCTAAAGTATGTAGATGTCTAGAGATAATCAGAGAGAATTCTGAGCATATCATTAAACGTTATCAGAGATTATAGCCTTCATTTAGTTTTAATCAACCTCGTAATTCAGCCTCGTAGCCTACCAGAAGCCAGGGGTTTTCAAGCCGCACACTGCTCGCCTGGAGACAGGAGTGCTTGAGCCGCATGCGGCTCCATCGGAGGACCTCTGCCGGCACGCGGACAGGGTAAGTACCGTTACAAGTACAACTCGGTGAGGAACATTGGATAGGGCCACAGCCTTTGTGCAGGAAAAGGTAAGTAAAACCTTTATTTTATTAATTTTATTGGAAAAGTTTGTATTCCTAAAGCTATAATGTTCCTTTAAAATTCCCTTTGAATTCCTGGCCATTCTCACTTTTGTGAATAATTCTGATAGATGCTTTCTACCATTTAAGCCATGTATCTTTCTGTCTCTTTCAAAGCTGCCATTGACCCCCCAATTTGGCCTTCGCCAGATGTCCTCATCACCAGTTTTCCTTAGAAGGCCTTCTCTGATTGCAATTTGTTTTGAGGATTTTATGACATACAAGGGGAACATCACAGCTTGAATTTTTTTTATTTATTCCCCTCCCATACTAACTGAGCTCTTTTAATTCATCTATCCTATATTTGTTTTAAAATTGCAGTGAGCATTTCCCATGACACATACTAAGATATACAGCAATTCCTGAGCCATGTAAGACATTATCAAGTAACTATGCATCCAGTTATGTCTTAAATTTTGAAATTCACTTTGAATTTATTTTCAACTCCTGGCAATTCTCATGTTAGTAAATAACCCTGCACTATCACCTGGACAAAATGAACAACTGCTACATAGACAATTTATGTGATGGAAGAGAGATGTGTAGAATGTGTCTCTGCATATATATGCGCCTGTGTGTTAGCACGTCTGTCTACCCTTGTTGATTGACCATGACATCAGATTGGTGGACTAGATGTTCAAATCTGCTTTCTAAAATAAAAGTGGCATGTTTTTTATGATATCTACACTTTATTCCAGTAAAAGGAGAAAGTAATGCATCTGTCTTTAATGGGCATTGAAACAAGCTTTGTTGTTTCCAAGAAATGGAGATGTGTAATTTTAAACCTCATTTACTGAAACGAATGGTAAATCTAAAAACATTGCACTTTAAATGGAACAATATATATATACGTGAATGAACTTATGCCGGTAGATTTAATCAGTAGGGCCAAAATGTGTTTACTTTTCTAGCAATAATTGTCTCTCCCGGGTTATAACAATTCAATTATACCCCGGTAAACTGATGCAGGAAAAATCAATTGTCCTTGTTGTAGAAAAGGAATCCCAGCCCTCTAATATCTAAAAAATTTTTTTAGATCAAATACGACCTTTTAAAAGTCAATCATAATAATACTCTGAATAGTTGAACTGGAGTGGCTTGTTTTTTCATCATGTGAGCTATTTAAGCTAATTAAGAAGTTTTTCTACACACAGACACACATTGCACAGCAGTGAGTGTGTTACCGTGGATGCCTTGCCAAGTGGATGCTGTTTGCTGGCAGCTGTTAGCTCAGGAAACACCCGCCAGACCTTGGATAGAAGATGCTTCCTGTATTGTATTGTGATTGGAGACGCCAGACTCGGAGGGGGCGACAGACTATAAACACGCAGGGATACTCCTTCACTTACCGCCTCTAGGACACTGTGTTCCAAAATAATATATAAAAAGCCTTGTACCTCTAGGATTGTGCAGCACCGCAGAAAAATTCCCAATTTTAGGCAATTTATAAGGCAGGATGGTTTACACAATGGCACAATGACCATTAATATTCAGAAGGTGTCCAGTCTTGTTTCACCAGTTGTTAATGGATTCAGATCATTCTAAAGAACTTTCTGCTAGTCAGAAGCTGGAGCAACAAGTTGGAAAATCCTTGTTCTATAGCAAGGTTAAATTGTATTTTTATTATTATATATGTACTAGTTTAAGCTCGAGTCTAGATAGAACTAGAACAGATAATGCCGATGTTCTATGGTATTATTTTATTATATTGTGTATGTGTGTATATATATATATATATATATATATATGTGTGTGTGTGTGTGTGTGTGTGTGTATATATATATATATATATATATATAATAAATTCCTATGTTATTCTTTTCCTGGAGCTGGGATTGTGTTGTGGGAGGTGATGAGGTGAGATTGTGTATGTTAGTGAGTTTGCGTGTTTTGTGGTGGGTGTGTAGCTATGTTACTAAGGTGTGCGTTACTGCGCTCGTTTGAGCTGCATATGAAGCTATCTCTGTGGCTATAGCAATGAAACAATTGGGTCTGTGTTTGTGTGTTTAATCACCAGTGAATGAGGGCAGAGTGGTTATTATGTTGTGATAACATTCATTGATTGCCCTTAGTTCTGCTTTAAAACCATTGTATGTTTTGACTCATACTACATGAACTACTGTTGATGCAGCCTTTTTTTTTTTACTTGCTCTCACTTATTAACTGCATAGGAATTGTACCAAACGTGTGATTTTTTTTTTGTTTCTAAAAAGTGTCCAAACTAGCTATGTTTTAAGTTCTGCTATTTTGGCTTAAAATTTTTAACTCTTCGTTTTCCTGACAATACACACTTTATTGAATACCCCTGCAAATATAGAATAACATTGATGACATTTTTTTTGTATGTTTTTTTTTTTTTAGCATTTGTCTATTTGTGTTAGAGATATCCTTTTACAGAGTGTTGCTGCATTTTAAAGGGCAAGGAGGGGGTTTATAAATTGAGAATCCTTTTTCATTTATTATGGTTGTTGCTTGCTACCTGGCAGCCATCTTGTTTCTCCTGTGAATCTTTTTTTATTTATTTGTTTGGTAGCAGTTATGCTAGTTAGGTGTCTCTATGAACGTTTATATATGCATTAAAAACTTTTATTGGAGAGTTATTCCGATCTACTTGGAAAGGACACTGGTGACCTCACCCCAGGGGTATCTGCATTAGATTACTACTGCTGGGCAGAGGCCTGCTCAGGTTACTGATCGTAAAATCAGCGTACAGAGACTATATACCATGTAGGGCCAATGCACAGCTTACATATCTCTCTGTGTTATAGTTATGGGAACATATAAGGAGGATTAAGTAGTTTAGTTAAGGACTTTATTAACTAGGTGGATCTGCTGGTCAATGCAGCATGGTCTTTATTTTGTGGAACTATATTAGTCACCCCAATGATGTGTCACACACATACAGGCCCCCCGTCATGCCCATTCATCCATGTATAGTGTGTGGGTTTGTATATAAGGGTGTAGTTTTTGTATACAGGATTAACTAAAATTAACAATTTACATGAAAATATTCCTGCCTCCATCCCTGTAGTTACCTTGTTGGGAGAGGTTACAGGCAGACAGTCACACACACACAGTTTCAGTCACACACAGGCAGACAGTCACACACAGTGTCAGTCTCTCACACACACACACACCGCAGACAGTCACACACACAGTTTCAGTCTCTCACACACACACACACAGTTTCAGTCTTCGGTCACACAGAGGTAGAAAGTCACACACACACACACACACAGTTTCAGTTACACACAGTGACACTGCTCTGTAGGCCCTCCTGCCATGTTTTGGCTTTCTTTTGCCATGGTGCTCTTTGCGCCCGCACAGCTCGACCACCCCTAAGGCCAGCCCTGCGCACGTATACATAAATGGCTAGTGGAGGGTCTAGTTTATATATACTACATATTAGGGTAAGTGCACTGTGGCTTTATGGCTTTTGCACATCAAGTGTGATGGAATTTCGGTGAAATGTAAATTTAGTAGGCCGAGATTTCCACGTGGCATATGTGTATGTTGTATCAGTTAGTTAGTTACACGTAGCTAAGATACTGTCATCAATGTACTGAGCATGTGCAGGAATGCAGGAACTGAAATCACACTCCTTTCTCCTTTGTTTCGGATGAGCCATGTGGTCTGCCCATATGAGGAAATCCAAATCCTGTCCACTGATTGGTTAAGGGTATGTGCGGGTGGAGATATTAATGGGAGTAGTTATAGTTCTATAAAAAGCATGTACTCCGTGTGTTCGCCCCTCAGACCTGTTTTGGAACGTTAGTTCATCTGAGGCCCGATCGGTATGTTAATAAAGACCTCTTACTTCCTGAAAACCTGCATCCATCTCTCTGTGTCTGGCTTCTGCAAGTTTACTCGGTTACACAAGGAAGGGACAGTGGTCCCGAAACATTTGTCTTTCATATACTCTTTAACTAAAAGTATGGTTCCTATTTACTAAGCTGCATATTGTGCTACCTCCTGTTTTTGCATGTATACCTAAATCCGGTGTTGTCAGGTTCTTCTAAGCCTGACAATAGTCATATGGAACCTCATGTACTCCTCTGGTGACCAAACAAAACTGCCAACATGTTGCTGAGTAGATTGAAATAGATTCGGGCAAAGGCATGAGTTGTAACAACACCCATTTTAATGTAATGCAGATATTTCTATGTAGGATAACCTTGAGGCTTCCCTTAAAGGAAGCAAAAGGAAACTCTAATTAGAAAATTACATTTGTGAAAAAATTACATTCGACTTTATGTTAATACATGATCTGAATACCTATCATGCTTGGCTTACAGAGGATTCATGCCATGAAAGTGCACAGCCCAGATTACATGCCTTGGATTTTATTGTTCTGAAAACACGTATGAAGTGCAGCCTGTACCTTTTTGGGGACCAAGAAGAATTGCTAGATAGATGTGCATGAGTGGTGCCAACAAAACCTAAGACAGATTTTACCGTGAAGCAGAAATTCCACTTTCCATATTTTATCCTATTTTATTTATTTTTTTCCAACTGAGAGCACTGTTGCTGTTTTTTTATATATATATTGTGGAGCACGACGTAACCAAGGCCGGACCGACGGATACTCTTCTCCAGTATATCCCTTAGCGGGGATTATACCGCTAAATGCCCTCCATCCTAGAGCTGGCCTAAGCTCCTCCAAATGTGAGTGTATCATCCTTCATTTTACTTATCTTACCCTTGGATTTACAATATTTCACCATTGGTAGTTTGTCGTGTTTTAGTTTTTTTATTTCACATATACGGACTATTTACAATCCGGACGGATCAACTCCTGAGGATTGTATGCATACTCTATCCAGAAATTTCAGTGAGACGGTTTATTGTTTTTATTTCTATTTAACATTTTACTACTTGGATGGACTTTGTTTTAATATACTTTTTTTAGCTGTTTTAATAGAGACTCTTTTTATCTATTATACTAGCTTAGTTGTTGTTGTCTATTTATTTAGGCCATTTGGTCTCTTTTTACTGTATAAGTCACTGTATCCTAGCGCAGACTACACTGAAATGCCTAAATATGGGGGATATTGTTACTTGTTGGTAGCTGTGTGTACCTACTCAGGTTGGGTAGAAGCTTGTCCAACTTGTACAGAAAAGGCAAGAGAAGTTGTACGATTTCTGTTGCGAGAAGTTATACCCAGATATGGACTTCCATGTTCTATCGGATCAGACAATGGTCCAGCCTTTATCCATCAGTGTTTACAACAATTGACTCATGTGCTTGGTATTAAGTGGAAACTTCATACAGCATATAGACCTCAGAGTTCTGGAAAGGATGAACAGAACAATAAAAACCCAATTGGCTAAAATGTGTCAGGAAACTCAGCTCAAGTGGAATGTCCTTTTGCCAATAGCTCTGTTGCGGATACGTAGTACTCCTACCAGAAGAATGGGTCTGTCTCCCTTTGAAATCGTGTATGGGAGTCCACCTCCCATACTCAGTAATCTAAGGGGGGACTTGAATCAGTTGGGTGAAGGAATTACTCGGCAGCAGGTTGTAGAGTTGGCTAAAACTATGGAGGAAGTACAGAAATGGGTGCAAGATAGGTTACCTGTGAACATATATCCACCTGTTCATTCCTATCAACTGGGAGATCAAGTGTGGATAAAAGAATGGAATATTGTTCCATTAGGTCCAAAGTGGAGGGGTCCTTATGTTGTTCTTTTATCTACTCCAACAGCTGTAAAGGTGGCAGAAGTGACTCAGTGGATTCATCATTCTAGGGTTAAACCAGCGGCAGATTGTTGGCAAGCTATTCCAGATTCTGAAAATCCTTGCAAGATCCGGTTAAAGCGGGTAGCTCAGTCAGAGTGAGAAATAATACGAGGAGATATTGGGACATCTTAGTTGAAAGTAACAACAGATATCAGCAAGTAGGTGTTTTGACGGCCATAATAAAGCCTGACCACCTACCTACGTGTCATAGCCAGAGTGTCTCGAAGGGACCTCTGTAAAGAAAAGTGAAGATCAGAAGACAATCCTTGCAGCCCTCACAATCGGGAAGCTGAGGTGCCGTCGCACGGTTGAAGAGTAGAAATGAGGACTTCTGAAATAATATGTTATATAAAATGTGTTTAGGCATTTTTGTGATTTTTCAGGAAGGTAAAGGTGAGGACATACAGAGTTGTGTTAGCTGCATTAAGACTACAAAAACAGGTAACCAAATATCCTAAACTCTCATTTGGCACTCACAGTATGAGTGTAGGGGATCTGTCTCTAGGTGTAGATCTTTAGATATAGATTACAGTGTGTGCAAACCAATATCAGGAGAACCTAAATGTTTTGATCCCCAATTCCAACCCCATACAATTTGGTTGGTAATTCGGAACAGTAACTCCCAGGGGACCTTGATAAATAGGACTGTGATAAATACCATACATTCTACGGGCATTCTACTATTTGATGCATGTAAGGTGATCTCTGGTAATGGAAAACCTTGGAATGTATGTGGTAATCTTAAATGGGAACAAACTTATAGGTTTAATGATAAATATTTATGTCCCAGTAAGAGATCTACTGATCCTGATTGCCCAAATAGGGATTTTAATTTTTGTCCATATTGGTCTTGTGTAGGGTGGGCGACCTGGGGAAAAACAGTGGATCAAGATATGATTATCCAAAGGTTGCCCACTACACCACACTGTAAGTCTATGGAATGTAATCGTGTCCATATGACCATCTCTAATCCACAACATTTTATTGATAAATTTGGAAATCTATTTGGGTTCCAAATATATGGCACAGGAGTAGATCCAGGAACCATAATATATGTAGGACTTGAAACTGAGACGATAGCAACTCAAACTCATCAGGTTTTTCATTCCTTCTATGAGGAGATGAGTGTTGAGGATAAAATTCCCCATAATGTTAAGAATCTATTTATTGATTTGGCTGAGAGTATTGCGGGTAATCTTAATGTAACTGATTGCTTTGTATGTGGAGGTACTCATATGGGAGACCAGTGGCCATGGGAGGCAAAGGAAATATGGTACCTTGGTTCTGAGACAGATGAACAACAAATACTTTCTCAGTCTGATCATCAAGTAAGTACTAGAGGTAAATCGGAGTGGCGGTTAAAAACCTCCATTATAGGTCATGTATGTTTAGCCAGGAAAGGGCCATTGTATACAACACCTGTTGGCGAGTTAATATGTCTAGGACAGAAAGCCTATAATGCCGATACTAAACATACTACTTGGTGGTCAGCTTCAAATGTCTCAGAGTCTACTAATCTGTTTGCCAATTACACCCATTTAAAAGAGGTATGGTTTGACTTATCTGTTACATCCAATTGGAAAGCCCCAGCGAATTTATATTGGATCTGTGGTAAGAAAGCATATTCAGAGTTACCACAAGATTGGGAAGGGGCATGTGTATTAGGTATGCTCAAACCATCCTTCTTCTTGTTGCCAATTGAGACAGGAGAGACCTTGGGAGTTAAGGTTTATGATGTAAATTATAAAAAGAAGCGAGCATCCTTGAATATAGGTAGCTGGGAAGATGATGAGTGGCCTCCCCAACGCATTATTAATTATTATGGACCTGCTACTTGGGCAGAAGATGGTACCTATGGATATAGAACCCCAATATATATGCTCAACCGTATTATAAAAGACTACAGGCGGTGGTTGAGATTATCACTAATGAGACAGCTCAAGCACTTAATCTTCTAGCTAAGCAAAATACTCGGATGAGATCAGCCATCTATCAAAATAGATTAGCTCTGGACTACCGATTAGCAGTAGAGGGAGGTGTATGCGGAAAGTTTAATCTCAGTAACTGTTGTTTGCACATAGATGATGAAGGGCGAGAAGTGGCTGAACTTACAAGCCACATGGTTAAACTGACGCATGTAGCTACTCACGTCTGGAATGGGTATAATCCTAGTAGTTGGTTTGGAAGTTGGTATGAGCAGCTTGGAGGGATTAAGGCGTTAGTAGGAGGAGTAGTATTTATTATAGTCTTATGTCTCTTTCTGCCCTGCCTAATTCCATTAGTGGTCAGATCTATATGTAGTATCAGAGAGAGTACTATAGAAAGAAAGACAGCTGCTCATGTAATGGCTGTCTACAGGGCCGTCTTTAATATTGATTGGACCCTGGGCAAAGCATTTGCTTGGGCCCCCTGGTACCCTCGCCAGGTGTGCAATCATGTCCTCCACCCCAACGCAGAGGCAGACCTAAAGTAGAGAGGTGCAAGAATTTTTGTGCCTCCCTATCGCACGGGTGATTAGAAGGTAGTTCCCCATCTGTCGTGCAACTTCAGCAATGCATTGACAGCTGTGGCTCTACCATTTACCCATGTTTGAAGGTTTGTATTTAGCACAACGCTGTTTTTGTGTGTTTGAATGTAAACAGGTTTTTTTTGTAAAATAAGTTTGTATGTGGTGTTGGTGTACTTGCAAGCATGTATTTATGTGTAGTGTTGGTTTTTGAATGCAAGGGTGTGTTTACATATAATTTTGGTGTGTAACACAGACATGTGTTTGTACCTAGTGTTGGAGTTTGAATGCAGGGGTGTATTTGTATGTAGTGTTAGTGTGTGAATGCTGAGATGTATGCACATATACACACACAGACTATATGTATACAAACTGACAGACATACTTACACAGACACATAAACTGACAGACATACTGACACATACATACTGACATATGGACACCGACACATACACTGACAGACATACTGGCACACACAGACACATACTACCACACACCCAGACAGACATAGTGGCACACACACACACACACACAGACATACTGACACACACAGGCATACTGACACCCAAACACACTGACACACAGACATACTGACACACATGGACCTACTGACAGACACACACACACACACCTACTGACAGGCACACACACACAGACATACTGACACACACAGGCATACTGACACCCAAACACACTGACACACTGACACACATGGACCTACTGACAGACACACACACACACAGACCTACTGACAGGCACACACACACAGACATACTGACACACACAGGCATACTGACACCCAAACACACTGACACACTGACACACATGGACCTACTGACAGACACACACACAGACCTACTGACAGGCACACACACACACAGACATACTGACACCCAAACACACTGACACACAGACATACTGACACACATGGACCTACTGACAGACACACACACACACACCTACTGACAGGCACACACACACAGACATACTACACACACCTACTGACACACACACAGTCATACTCACACACACAGACACAGACCTACTGACAGACACACACACAGTCATACTCACACACACACACAGACCTACTGACAGACACACACACAGTCATACTCACACACACAGACCTACTGACAGACACACACACAGTCATACTCACACACACAGACCTACTGACAGACACACACACAGTCATACTCACACACACAGACCTACTGACAGACACACACACAGTCATACTCACACACACAGACCTACTGACAGACACAGACCTACTGACAGACACACACACAGTCATACTCACACACACAGACACAGACCTACTGACAGACACACACACAGTCATACTCACACACACAGACCTACTGACAGACATAAACACACACATACTGACATAATATGCAAACTGTAAAGCCCCCTCTAGTTTCCTACCTTCCCTGGGGTCCAATGTGCTGGTTGGGGTGGTTGGGAGTTGGGGACTGGCTTTCTTTGCTCAGTCCCCCTCCTCGCTGCCTCCTGGCTCAGCCTTCCTCCTGCGCGGCTCATCATCTCAGAGGGAGGAAGTGACTCACCGACAGCACTTCCTCCCATGCTGCCGTAAATCAGAGGGCCCGGTCGTGCTGTTAAAGGGCTACAGCACCCGACTGGGCCCCCTGCTGTAACGTGCTCACCGGGTGGCCCTAAGTGTATTGGCCACCCGATGGGCCCCCATAGACCATGGGTGGGACCATGGGTGGGGAGGGAATTTTTCTTATGCAGGCGATGGGCGGTGGGGCCACGGGGCAGCTGCTTTGGGCCCCCCAGGAGTAACTGGGCCCGGGGCAGCTGCCCCGTTTGCCCCGCGTTAAAGACGGCCCTGGCGGTCTATAGATATGAATCCCTAGCCCAAAGAGAACATATTCAGGATGAGGAATGCTGAAGGAGTTTGTGATGATGCTTACAAGGTCTGCTCTGGTTCAATGGCTACTTGAGAGGTGTTGGTAAACTATGACTGGTGATGCATCTGGAATAATTTTGTATCAGAGGCATCAAAGGGGGGAATGTGATGGAATTTCGGTGAAATGTAAATTTAGTAGGCCACACCTATTGGCGAGTTAATATGTGTATGTTGTATCAGTTAGTTAGTTACACATAGCTAAGATACTGTCATTAATGTACTGAGCATATGCAGGAATACAGGAACTGAAATCACACTCCTTTCTCCTTTGTTTCGGATGAGCCATGTGGTTTGCCCATATGAGAAAATCCACATCCTGTCCACTGATTGGTTAAGGGTATGTGCGGGTGGAGCTATTAATGGGAGGCGTTATAGTTCTATAAAAAGCATGTACTCCATGTGTTCGCCCCTCAGACCTGTTTTGGAACGTTAGTTCATCTGAGGCCCGATCGGTATGTTAATAAAGACCTCTTACTTCCTGAAAACCTGCATCCATCTCTCTGTGTCTGGCTTCTGCAAGTTTACTCGGTTACACAAGGAAGGGACAGTGGTCCCGAAACATTTGTCTTTCATATACTCTTTAACTAAAAGTATGGTTCCTATTTACTAAGTTGCATATTGTGCTACCTCCTGTTTTTGCATGTATACCTAAATCCAGTGCAGCACAAAACCAGGATACACCACTGAATACATGATCTGAATACCTATCATGCTTGGCTTACAGAGGATTCATGCCACGAAAGTGCACAGCCCAGATTACATGCCTTGGATTTTATTGTTCTGATAACATGTATGAAGTGGAGCCTGTACTTTTTGGGGGACCAAGAAGAATTGCTAGATCAGGAGATAGGTGTGCATGAGTGGTGCCAACAAACCTAAGACAGATTTTACAATGAAGCAGAAATTCCACTTTCTGGATCGGTTAACACTCAAAAGGTTATTCGAAAATAAACAAATTGTCATGGAAATTAGTTTAAAATTTGGACCAAAATAGCTGCATTAGAAATAGTTTTGGCTTTTTTGTTTTTTTTTCCAGTTATGGCCTACAATTAAAAATTCTCTTTGAATTCCAGACATTTCACACTTGATTGAGGCTACCCTTAAAGTAAAGGGAAATCATAGTCATAGAACAATTGCATTCCTACTGCATCAGTTCTATTTGCAGTTTGAAAAATGAATATATTCTCACGTTTACAAGTTGTGTTGAAGATTAATTTGTGGCCAAACTCACCAATAAAAAAATAGTATAAAAGGCAAAAAAAAAAAAAAGATTGGAAAGGAAATTTTTATAATTTGGGGTTTCTTAACTCTATGAATAACTTCAAACTGGTGGATTTTTATGTTATTCTACAAGCGAAACCAGATAAGCCTAGCACTACAAATGATAATTAACTACATTTCTCACAGAGCATGGCAGTCTAAAGAGAACAGTCACATCCCTTAAAGGCTTTCCCTCAGCAGCATACTAAAATTGATCGTCTTCTGGTAAATTCCAAAACAATGCTTCCAGTTCCTAGAACTTATCCCAAGGGATTATTTCTTAATCTGTCATTGTCACGTCTCCCTCATTCTTTTCCAGTTATTTTATCATCCTCACATACCCAGGCATGCCACAGTCTCTGCTTGGATGGTGATGTAACCATTCAGAAAGCAAAGCACCACAATATTTCTGAATATGGAACTTAAAGTTGTGAAATGGTCCAATACATGCATGATGATCATAGATAATATTTACACCACAAAAAAAAAAAAAAAATCACATTTGTTGTATTCCTCTGCAGCGATTTTCTGCTGTTATACTGGTCATCGTTGGCTGGTTCTCTTTGTAGTAGGATTTTTTTTTTAAATTTTTTTTTTGAAGGACTACACATAAGAAAACATATAAACATTCCAAGAGCTGGACGAGAGAACCCACCGGCCACCTGACAGGTCTGGGCGGAGAAGTCTCCTATCCCAGCCTGATCAAAGGCCATACAGACTGTTCAGTTATTTATTTTTGATGGTTTTTTTACTAGTTTACTATTTTACTGTAACCAGTTCCCAATTGGAAATACTCTACCATGTAACTGACCAGGACCACCCAGACCCCCACCACCCACAATATTTATGAGTCTGCTGATGGTGGCGCTCTCCCACTCGCTCAAAAACGCAAGGTGAACAGCCAAACAGTGTGCAACACCTATACACCCCCCCCCCCAGTTCCCCCGACAACCACTTGGTTAGAGTTATTACCCATCTAGAGTAGTCCACACAGCCCATGGACGCAGTACACCTCCTCCTGGAGGATAAGCTCCCACATAACTTTCACTGACCTGATCCATGAGTAACTCACTAATTTACTCTCCAGAGGACAGCCCATGTACTCATATAACTGACATCTCCAGGACCCACCGTGGATCACACCAATACTACCTCATCTCACCCTAGGTGAAAGTCTCCAGGCCCAACGGAACGCTCCTACTCTCACGACTGTCTCCCAAAACCGCCTAGGGACACACGCATGTAAAATTTCTAAATATAAAAAGTGCTAAGTTTTCGAACACGTGATTTTGTGACACGATTCTTTTTTTTTTTTTTTTTTTTTTGCTGTGCATGAAATAACTTTCGGATATCAACAATGCCACAACAGCATTCGCAATACACTTATTTGTTAACTGTTGTACAGCATCTAGAGGAAACGCACATTTTTTTTTTAGGGTAATAATACAAGCTAAGTACCAGCTGGGTAACTACTTCTGTCTTTTTGAATTACATTGTCGATTAGTAACAGTAGCTTAGGGTTAA